TGCTTGTCTAACAAAATAATTGATTTTGGAAAAAAAATTTTTTGTTTCAACTTTTTTTTCAATTTTTTTTTTCAAAAAAATTTTTTTTTGTATATCGAAAATAATTCAGATTTTATTTTTAATTCTGACTAAAGTTCTAATATACTTCGAACAAATAATTTCAACTTTGCAATTCAGTTCATATAATTCTTATAAATATTAGACAATGTTACAATCATAGATAACGAAACATACAAATCATAGATAAGGTTACAATAATAATAATAATCTATTTCAAAACATTCAGTATTCCTCGAACATTTCGTTACGGTACGTGAAGTACCAGCAATTTGCCTTAACCCTCCGTCGGTCGGCGTGGTCTGGCCAGACTTTTTTCGACTTCAATTAAAAAAAAAAATACTTCTAGTAATCCTATCGACTTCAAATTTCTTGACTTTTCCTAAAATTTCATTAGCTGTCGATCAATGAAAAAATCAGGACGAAAAAATGTACAGAAGGATAATTATAAGAATATTAACTTTTTTATACTTCGAACGGTCGGAAAGGCCTGTCTAGACCACCCATACATTTTGTATGAATTATCGCTTTTTGATATATGTAAACCAGTATTTTGACTTTTTTCATGGTGTTTTCTATTCAAACTGCGTTGTATATATTCTTTGCTACGTGTTGTAACATGAATTTTAGTATTTTCATGACGAGAGTTTCTTGAAAACCTACCAAACTCATTGGTAATCGCAAACACTGAAAATCGGATGAGTAATGCACACATTATCAACAATTTTTCTACCAGTACTTTGTTCGAATTTTTTTTTTGCAAACCTGTAGTAAAATTTTATTTTCACTTTGAGTTTTACAGCTCATTTCAAAGGCGACGCACCTCATTTCGTTTTCATTTGAATTTCACATTCATTTCAAAGGCGCCGAAAAAGAATAAATATTGTTTTTCATTGATATAAAACAGAAAAATTAACAAAAAAAGCAACGATTTTTTTACATATCTTGATTTTTTTTATATAATATAATATGTAATATTATTATTATAAGCAAGCTCAACACATGCAAAAGACGGTAAGAAAAAGAAAAAATTAAAACTATAAATATTTACTACTAATAATAGTCTTATATAGTAATATAAGACACCAAAAACTCATTTATCCCATATAAATGCATGTAAAATGAATGGTGGTCCAACCAGACCTTTCCGACCGTTCGAAGGTGAAAAAATATCCGACCGACGGAGGGTTAAGGCACGATGCCATACACCCATACACCCAACTAGTTATAAATTTTCAGTTGTTTTAAATGCATGAGTAATATTGATATTTGGGGTTTAAAACATTTTACTTATTTATTTTGGGGATTTTATGCTATTTATTCTATTGAGCAAATCATCCCAAGATAGCAAAATAAATTCTAGCCTTTCATTATTAAACATCATACCCGTCGTTCATGTTGTATTTTTTAAATTTAATTTTTTTTTAATTAATTATAGAAGTTATATATTTTTAACTTCCTGTAGGGTAAGTTATAGTAATGGGACAAAAATCGAAAATGAAAATTTTTGCATATCTGCACGTTTCAGAGGTTTCTAAACATTTTGTTTGGCATACCTCGAAAAAAATGGATGTGTGTGTGTGTGTATGTGTGTGTGTGTATGTATGTGTTCAAGTGTGTGTATGTGCGGAGACAATTTTTCGCTTTCGGGCAGGTCCAGCGGCTTCGGAGATATGGAGCAAAAAGTGTTAAAAATGTCAGTTTTTAAGAGAACGGATCAACCGATTTGAGTGATTCAAAAAACATTTGATTCGTAATGGGGAGAAGTGGTGATTAGATTTTGGCAAACGCAGGTGCAGCAGTTTCGGAGATACAGAGCTAAATGTGCAAAAATGGCAGTTTTTGAGAGAACTAAAGATGCTTATTTATGCTTATTTATCTATGGTACTAAGCATCCGATTTGGATGATTTAAAAAACTGTCTGCTTGCGTTGACGAAACGATTGCTTTTGGGTAAAGATTTTTTTTTTAATTTTCAAGAAAAATTTTTTTTGGACATTGAAATAAATTTGCCTTAAGGCACGATCCCATAAACTGCTAGTTTTATTTTTGTTTAATTTTTCTTTTGTTAAAATTTTCAAAATTGCAAGCTAAAATTTTCCTAATTGATATCGTAAGGGCCAAATTACATGTAATCGTTGTTTGTTTTAAAGTTAAATTTTTAACGTATTTTAAAAGTATTGTCTATAAATTAGTAACAGATGCAAATAAGTTATATATTTCCTGAATGATATTGAAAAACCTATATTATAAATTTCATATCCGAATGTTGTGTTGGCGCCCCCTAAGGCGTGCGCCCGCATTTTTCGCGTGCATCGCATTCAAGGTAGGAGCGGCTCTGTATATATATATATATTATATATATATATATATATATATATATATATATATATATATATATATATACAGTGCTGGATTTACAGTAGGGGCAATCGGGGCTACTGCCCAGGGCGGCAAATTTTTGGGGGCGGCAAATTTTTGGGGGCGGCAAAATTTGGATAGTGAGAAAAAAAATCTATACAATATGATCAAATTTTTTTTAACAACATTTTTTATTTCAAGAAATATAATTATCAAAACATAATACGATTGCAAAATTTGGGTTGAAATAACCGATTATTAAAATTTATTATTTTGCCATGCCTCTCTCTTCGAACGTAAATTATCAAATTGGTTAATAAGTCATTATCAAATTTGTCAATTTGGCTAATATAAAGATCCGTAAACAAGCTGAAAGTTTAAGAAAAATATGTTCTTCAGTTCTCGAGCCCTCTTAAAATGACGAATTTCTGCACTTTCAAGCTTATAGCGTTGAAAAAAAATTTAAACTATTGACGCATGGCATTGTGCCTTAAGACAAATTTTTGAAACATCCCGTACTGAAAATTACATTTTATAAAGAGCTTTAAAATTGAAAAAAAAAATGAAAATGATAAAAAATGACTTTTAAAACACATTTTTTGTATTTTGAATTTTTTTGAAAATTATGAACTTTTTGCAAAGCAATCGCGCTGCGTAGCTGTTTCTGAGAAGAAATATCAAAACTCAATTATCATTTTTCGTAATTCGTGCCAAAAACTAATCAGCACGTCTCTCCCATCAATCTAATCTTTTTTTATTATTTTTTTATTATTCAAGTGAACACGGATCAACCGATTTAAATGATTCAATTCCTATTGTTAAGGAGACGTGCTGATTAGTTATTGGCCAAGGCAGGTCCAACTGTTTTGAAGATACGGGCTAAAATGCCAAAAATGAAAATTTAGTTGTTGAGAAAAGAAGCGTCCAATATCATTCAAAAAAAATTATAGGATAAATAACTGCTTAAATTTGTAGGAGGCAGGAGGCAGGTTTAGCGGTTTCGATGATCCAATAAAAAAATTTGAAAAAGAAACATTTGGTGGACAAAAGTGATCATAAGACATATGCACATCAAATTATCAGATATTTTAAAAATATTTAAATAATAAGTATAAATTTTGTTTACATTTATATGAGTTATGTAACATTGTTTATTCGTTAGTCTGCGACGCGGCGCTTACGCGCTCCTATATTTTGTCCCTTCGCAGCTGAAGCAGCGCAATTGCTTTAAAAAAAGTTCGAAAGTTCGTAAAATTTCAGGAATGGGGCGGCATTTTTGTTAGTGCCCCGGGGCGCCAAATTTCTAAATCCGGCCCTGTATATATATATATATATATACTACTCAGCTACTCAGCGCGATATACTTTAAGCAGTTCTTGAATTTTAAAATTAGCTCTGACTTCTTGCGAAAACGACCATTTTTTCTATTTAACTATTTTTCACAATGATTCGACAGATCATCATCAAAACCAAACCAACGCGTTTCGCTATTGCTACTCAGATGTTTTTTTAAAACTTTTTAAACTGATGCAGCCGTTTTTTTTGAGAAAAAGTGGGCGAAAAAATAAGTATGCGGATATTACTACTGCATGGTATTATATATTCTTGAAATTAAATATATTTTTATATTGGAAGAGCAACCATCGTGAAAAATTATTAATTATGAAATAAATATTTTTAAACTACCTTGAGAGACGGCATTACAGTAGTAGTCAATTAAATAAAGTTCAAATTTACTACAAATATTGCAAGTATTAGCACAAAGACGTGCTAATGTCCTTTCTACTGAGGTCAACGTAAATTGTTTTTCCATTGTCAATATACCGTTGTATTTATTCTAATAATTTACACATACTATTACCTCAGAACTCGCTCTGGATAGAATTTGTTGTAAATGAAACAATGTTTTGACACATTCAGATTTTGTTTTATTAATATATACATTATATATATATATATATATATATATATATATATATACCAATTCTAAAGATTGTAGGTTCAATAATAATATTTCATATATGGAATATTGCTATATTGGTAGAATTTTCCACACGTAACATACCTTCAATCACTATTTAATAATGTATGAGCCTATACAACTGAGTGATATTCAATTTCTATATAAAAAACTAATAATAATAAGAAATAATTATAAACTATCCATTATAGTGCCATAATTATAACCTTATCGTAACTTTTAATCGTACTTACAATATAGTATTATTAGAATTCTGACCCGAAGCAAAGCCAATACTCCCACGATATCGATGGCTAAAAACTTGTTGTTTATTTAAAAGTTATGTAGAGGCTTTTATGATCATACAGAAAATCATAATTTAATAGTAAATGTTGCTTAGCAACTATAATTTAAATCATATATAAACATTATGTAAAAAATACAAAATTCAATTTTCTTTAGATTTTTTTCAATTGTAGTGCGAAATAATTACACTCTCAATGTTAAATTTAGTAACGGCACATATTAAAATTTAATCATTTTGATTTCATTTTAAGATTATTTTGCCAATAGTACTAAACTATATTAAATATCAGATTACATGATTGTGCCAAACCATCCGCTTTTCATTTTATCTTAAAAATAAGGTGGTTTATATTTAAGCTTATGTATAAATAATTTTATTCTTTTGTTGTCCGATGTTTGTCAGCCCACAATAACGTGAACTGTGTCTTTGAGCATTCCAGTTATTATTCCTGCAGTTCGGGCCACTTTATTACCCAAATTGGATACAATTCCCAAAACTTGAGAACTAAGGGGTCTGGCCTGAAAATTTCCTTGAATCGTAAAAATTGTTGATCTGGTTGTGGATGGATTACTTTGCACTATGATCCTGAAAATTTATTAAATTGATTGTCAAACGATTTATAGAAACAACAGTAGTAAGGAAGTAACAGTGCAATAGTAACAGTAGTATAGATGTAATTTAATTTTTTTGTGAAAAATGTTTTTACGTTATAAAAAAGCAGTTTCTAATATTTTTATAGTAAGCAAATTTGTCAGAAATGTAAATAATCTGGAAAATTTATTATCTAAAAAGACGAACAACCCTCAAATACTAGTGTATCATATTTCTAAATATGATATAACTATTCTAAATCATGGATATAACTATTAGTGAACAAAATATTTAAATATTTTTTGTGAAATAATTCAAAATGGTGAAAGTATTCCTAATTATTAAAAATCTTACGGTGTATATGTAGTGGATGGTGCTGGTGGTGCTGGTGGTGCTGGTGGTGCCTTTTCAGTTGCTGGCGGAAGTGTATTTGCATTAGGGCCACTGGCACCGTTTGATACCGAACGGACGGGTGGCGCTGATTTGTGCTCGTTGTTTACATTATTCGATGGTTTATTAAATTCTTGTATATCTGGTTTTTCTATTGGTTTAGTTTCTTCAAAATTGAATCTAGTTCCAATCTCAGGAAGAACATTGCCTTGCACACTGTTGATAGCTGGCTCAGCTCCATCTATAATGTTATATTGCTCATTCCGCAAATATTCTTCGTAGCTAAAATAGGATTAATATTGTATAAGAGCAAGTATAACGAATAGAAAATAAATATTAATTTTACATTTTTATCTTTGTAAACTTTAATCATTTTTAGGTTAAGGTATTTATGATATTTTGAATTTTTATTTCTTGAAAATACCATTAAACTTCTGTTTTTGGTATTTGATACAATTGGTATATCGCAAATACTATTACTGTATGAAAAATAGTTTGCAAAATAATGAATCAAGGCTACACTTTCCAACTATATCGTTGTGTACACGATTCATAAATGCCACTAATTTTTACACTGACAATTGCATTGTTACTAAAACTCTATAAATGTTTTAACTGATAACATGATTCTAATATTACAAACAACGTAATGGAGCAATACGATTTGAAAAAATCTCTTTGATGTACAAGATATCCTCTTCGAATTCCCATAATACAGTACCCTATTACAATTTGAAAACTGCAATTTTTAATTTTATTGGCGTTCGGAACCAAAATTAATAAAGTTTAAAGTGAACGAGATCTGTTTTTACATAAAAAACTATACATTCCAAGTGCACATGTTAATATCCAGATCATAGATAAATAAACGTATAAGATCCAGATATCCTTTATATCTATGCAAACGACGAGAACAACAAAATGTATTGTGCATTCGCCAAATTAAACTAATATGAAATTAATTTGTAAAAGAACAATCTGCTACAGCCATGTGTATGAGACAATTCTAATTCCTAGAATTTTAACGGCCGCGAGGGATATGACTTTTGAGTTCAAACGAATTTGTTTCGCAATGAAATTAACAAATCTTTGGCTGTTGGCGGACTCAACGTAGATATGCATATCTTCCATCATTTGTTTCATATTTTACATTTTGGCAAGTCATTTTCTTTATTTTATGTGCTTTTGCATGTAATAAAAAATAAAATTGTCGTGTACCACAAAGAAGATGAATAAACCAATGTTTATTTCTCTTCATTGTGGTATCCATCTCCATCTCGCATTGCATATACCAAGATTGTTTTCGTAGTGTCTTCACAATCCCTTTACTCAAACGTGACTTGATATTATTTTACGGATCGTCAGAGAGGCTATCGGACTTTTTTGTAGTTTCCTTCTTCGATGGCCGTGTACCGATATTTAATATGGGTTTTGATGATTAACGCTATGTTTTTGAGAGGTTATTCTATTTAATACTTTCTTTTGAAGACTAACTTATGCAAATATTTTTAACTTCCCGAAGGAGAAGTTTGTTTTCATCAAAAAATTCGATTCGCTAATTTTATGTTTTCTCGACGTTTCAAGCCATTCTGAATCGAATGAGACCAAATTTGGAAAAAGTATGTATGTGTGTGTGGTGAACAGATTTTTTGCCGTAAATCGACATTTTCTCAAAAATGGCTGGATCGATTTCAAAAATTTAAGAGCCATTCGATGTATCTCGATGAGAACTATCGTTTGTCAGTTTTGCGCTACGATCAGCCGAGCTGTTTCTTTATAAATCGCAGAAAGTGAAAAATTTTTCGTCCACGTTTTAGCCCGCAATTCTGAATCTATTATGAAAATTCAAAAACCGTTAGAAAGATATTGGTTGGGAATCGTGCTGATTAGTTTTAGGTGAAAATCTACCGAGCCGTTTTCTTGTAATTAACTGTTGAAAAAAAAATTAAGCCGATTTTTATGGAACTTTTTTTTGGCGATATACATCATGGTCTTATAGAACTTACTAAAATATTACGGCCTTACGACATGTAGTTTAATTTTTAAAATTCATCGAAGTTTGAGAAAACGAGTAGTTTTTTTGATGTTTGTTAAAATTAAAATTAGACGATTTACTTGGTATAACGATAAAGTACTTGGTCTTTATGAACATATTAAAGCATTAAAGTCCTACAAAAACTGGTTTAATTATAATTTTTTTTGATTTTTGAAAATTTGCTTTTTTGAAAATATTCCGAGCTAACGTGTACGTTCGTTTTCATACTTTAATCACTCATAAATTAATTTATTTTTTATTGATTAAGTCAATTATTTACACATATCGGGAAGTGCATGTAACTTGTCTCAAGGCAAAATACCAATACCAACTAGTTACATTTACATTTTAACTGTTACAATACTTTTCATAAAAATAGCATCTGCCTAAAATGTGTTATATATCTTAATAATAATATTTTATAAATTACACATATCTTGTAATAGATTAAATGCATTATCGAAAAATGGTATCAAACCTTTTCCTATAATCTCCTGTGGGGTCATATCGTTCGGCTAATTCTAGCCATTTGTCTGGATAAGCGTCGTGCAGACGTCGAATTACCTTAAGTGCGCTCTCTTTTTGTTTCAGAGAACATCTCTGGCACTTGCTTTTAAGGGCTTCTGGCAAGACTCCTGAAAATAAATTTATTAACGTTTTAAATGCATCTATTTATTATTCTGTAAGTTATTGGGTACCAATAACTAACATTTTAAACTAAATATGCGATGAGAAAACGTCAAAAGTCGTGAATTATATTTAAATTGATAGTGAATGTTATTTTTTATATAGTATTGTCACTTTCACCAGGTGAGATGATGCCAAAACAAAAACATAGACCATTTTTTATTCATTCAGTTCTTTGACGCGCATTTGCTTCAAAAATTTATTAACCTTTTTTTTACTTCGTTTACTTTCGAAAGTAAAATGTATTTTATTTAAATATGGTTTTATTTTTTTCAATTTGTATTTAAATATCTTCACATGTCCGGATGTTTTGCAAATTTTATACTATGTATGCATGCATATATATATATATATATATATATGTATATATATATATATATATATATATATGTATATATATATATTAGGGGGACCGGAAAGTAATGTCGTTTCTGCGCATGCCAATACTTGATTGTCATTTGTCAGCTCATTGTTTGGTTCAGAGGCGTACCAAAGACATTGTGAGACATAGTGATTTCTTTACTTATAGACATTTGAATTACATTTTTTTTTTTTTTGTAATTTTGGGTAAAATGGCAGCCAAATACCAGAAGAGGTACACATCCGGCATTGCATGCTCTTTGAGTTTCGCAAGGGAAATAACGCAACAGTTGCTACCAAAAACATTTGCGATGTTTATCCAAATGCACTGGACATTCATAAATGCCAAAGGTGGTTTTCCAAGTTCAAATCGGGTAATTTTGATCTTTCCGACTCGTATCGATCAGGAAGACCATCAGCGTTAGATAACGACGTGTTAAGGGCGGAAGTGGAAGCAAATCCGTGTCAGACGATCGAGGAATTGTCAAACAGTCTCAGCCAACCTTGGTCGACCATCCAAGAACATTTGAAGCAGATTGGGACAGTAAGCAGAGCAGGTGTTTGGGTCCCGCATAATCTGTCCGAACAGAATAAGGCTAACCGATCAATCAAATGCAACTTATTGCTTCAAGGACACAACACAGAAGCGTTTTACCTCATCCACCATATTCGCCCGATATTGCACCATCGGATTTCCACTTATTCCGAGGGCTGCAATACTTTTTAAGTGGCAAAACATTTGCAAATTTGGAAGATATCTAAAATGCCATCTCTAGATATTTTGCCGAAAAACCAATTAATTTTTATCGATCAGGGATTGAAAATTTACTCACTGGATGGCAAAAGGTTATTGAAAATGATGGGGAATACATCATTGATTAAAAATAAAGACTCGTTAAAAATGTATGTGTTTGAAATTTAGCGTAAGAAAACGACATTACTTTCCGGTCCCCCTAATATATATATATATATATATATATATATATATATATATATGATTTAGATTTTTTGTTCGGCATTGAGACATACACACATACATATATTTATTACACATATATATGATTCTTTCATACATTTGTTTAGCTTATTAATTAATTAAGATTGAAAGAGGTTTATTAAGAAAAGTATTATATTCTAATATTAATTTTTCAGACACGTTTTTACAAACAGAATTGGAATGGATTTGAATGTTTATATTTCTTAATTTTTCGTCGGTTCTTACTAATTATGTGAAGAGTTCATTAGATTTTTAGGAAAGACTGGTTCAGCCGCTTCAGATATATCGACGATAAATGCACAAAAAACGTTTTGACCACATAAATCAAGTTTCAGAATTTATTAAAGGAATTTGGGTTTCTTGCCAATAGAGAACGACTATACTTCTCCGATCGATTTTAACTTTTGAAGTTTTAATTAGCCTGTTAACTAATTTTTGGTTCTATACCGAAAAAATCATGACTTGACACTATGTGAAAATAGAAAAAAACTAGTGGGGTGGGTGGCATCGTGCCTTAAGGCAAATTGCTGGAACTTCCCGTACCGTAACGAAACGTTCGAGGAATATTGAATGTTTTCAAATAGATTATTATAAATATTGTATTATTGTCTAATATTTATAATAATTATATAAACTGAATTGCAGAAATGAAATTATTTGTTTAAAGTATATTAGAACTATAGTCAGAATTAAAAATAAAATCTGAATTATTTTCGATATACAAAAAATTAAAAAAAAAAAAAAAAAAAAAATGGTACAATTTTTTTTTTCCAAAATTAATTATTTTGTTAAGACAAGCAGAAAGTTCTTTGAATCAATTGAATCGGACGCTTAGTTCTCCCAAAACTGCCATTTTTTGTACATTTAGCTCTGTATCTCCGAAATGGCTGGGCCTGCCTTTGCGAAAAACTAATAACCCTTTCTCCCAATCATTACTAATGGAATGTTTTTTAGATCATTCAAATCGGATGCTCCGTTCTCTCAAAAACTCGATTTCTATTTTCTGCACTCTTTGCTCCTTATCTCCGTAACTGCTGGACCTGTCTTTGCCAAAAACTAATCAGCTCTTCTCCTTATTAATAGGAATCGAATGTTTTTTAAACCATTCAAATCGGTTGATCCGTACGCCCGAAAACGTGGACGAAAATTTGTATCCATACATACATACACACACACACACACACACACACACACACACACATCCATTTTTTCTGAGGTATGCCAAAACGTTCAGAAACCTTCAAAACGTCGAGAAATGTAAAAATTTTCAATTCCGATTTTCGGCCCATTACAATAACTTACCCTACGGGAAGTTAATAAGTTTAAATTTAAACGTTTTTGAAAACGGCATATATATATATATATATATATATATATATATATACAGTGATGCCTCGGACAATGTGCACTTTGCACAATGAACGTTGAGCACAACCAACTTTTTTCGAACTCGAGCGTTTCACACAACAAACAATACTTCACAAACGCATTTCACATTTGGAGGCAATCAGTAGGCCTCGATGGCCAAAGTTATAGTACAAATGTGGACTTTGGAAATGTTGCTTCCGGATCAAATACATATTTATTGGAAAACAAGCTCGCACTTAAAGCTCTTATTATTGTATAATTCTTTCTTCACACCCAGGGGCGTAGCGTGCCTTGGCGGGGCCCCGTATCAAAATATGTTTGGGGGCCCCCTCAAGAAGAAAAAAAATATAAAAAATACATAAAATTAAAAGACTATTTATTCATCATTCTTATTATTTATCAATCCAATTTTCTTTAATTTTCTGAATTTTTCACAAATGATTCCCGACATTTCAGATATATCTCTATCTCCTTGCATTTTTTCGAAAAATTAAATTATTAAGTGATCTTTAGATCTTTAAATTTTAGCGTGCCTTGGCGGGGCTCCGTATCAAAATATGTTTGGGGGCCCCCTCAAGAAGAAAAAAAATATAAAAAATACATAAAATTAAAAGACTATTTATTCATCATTCTTATTATTTATCAATCCAATTTTCTTTAATTTTCTGAATTTTTCACAAATGATTCCCGACATTTCAGATATATCTCTATCTCCTTGCATTTTTTCGAAAAATTTAATTATTAAGTGATCTTTAGATTTTTTAAAGTTTGACTTTAGAAACAATAGTCTGGTCTGATAGACATTTACCTCCTAAAGTTTATACGTAATTTTTAATTAGCTTTAATTCTGAAAAAAAAATTTTTTTGGCAGTTGCGATTGTAACGGGAAGGGCCAAAAATAAAATGCATACTGTTATTACGCCGTGAACCCTGGATGCAAGCCTATTTCATCCATTATTGTGCCTTAATATAATTCTCTAGTTTTTTGTATTTAAAACTGTCTTTAGAACCATCAATTGATCATGATCACATAAGATATCTTTACAGTCGACAGTTTATCCGGAGACGTTTATTTAATAAAATTTTTGTTATATTTTTATGTTCAATTTTATTTATTATTACTTTACAAAAACGTCTTTTTTCTATGCGTGTTTAGACAAGACTCCAATTTTAATGATACTAAATTGTAATTGTTAATTAATTAGTAAATTTTAATTTAAATTTTTCGCATTACTTCGCTTGCATTACTTCGCTCCCATTGTACATAAAACTTTGTAACGGTTTGCACTTGTTTATCAAAAATATTTCATATGAAATAAGTCATATTAAGTTCTAAAAGCAATTAAAATGGCACAACTTAAAAAACTTAGAAAAAGACGACTAAATTTCAGATCATAACTTTAAAAAATTAACTGTAATATAACACAGCTAATAATTAGAATGAAAATTCATCGAAATTGTTTTAAGATCTAACAATCATTACAGACAGGTCAGTTATTCAGAATTTTAGAATGAAAATGATTTAGTTGATTATATTTATCTGAATCTAACTATTAAACTTACACGGCATGCAGACAAATTTAGAAATGTTATAAATAGAATTATAAAAATTCCAAATTCAAATTTTTGTTGAAGAATGTATGAACTGGTAGTTTTACAAATTTGTTCATATATCTACAATCTACAAGAATATTAACTTATTGGATGTGCAAAAGTTTTACTAATTGAATTAATTGCAGCAGTAATCAATAATAAAGCCATCGCCGATAATAATTACTCTAGAGCTTGGGTCTTATCATCAGCTAAGTTGGAAAACAAAGGTATAATTAATTTGAAAAATATTATGGGTATCGTATTCGAAAAGTACATACAAAGTTTTAAAATCTTTTTTGAATATTTTGCAGCAGAAATAAATTCTCTTAAAGCGTTCAATTTTTTGAAAAATCATTGTTTTGCTTTAAAGTTGTTATCAATTTCTGCTTACGCTCGTTTGGGGCCCACTTGGATCGGGGGGCCCGTATTTTTGATACGGCTGATACGGCGCTAGTTACGCCCCTGTTCACACCCCAAAAGCCTTGAGTAAATTTTGGAAACGAAATATCAAAAAACGCGGAAGAAAAGACTAAACAGGCGGTTTTTAGTGCCGTCATATGAGACTTTTAGGAATGAGGTGCAAAAATTCATAAACAATCTTGAAGATTAAAATTTATCAAAGTTTTCTCT